ATACACGTGGGCACAAAGTGATATAAAGAATATGAGAAACCAAAATGCAAGGAGGGGAAGAGAGTGAGTGTGAGATAAAAACTTACCTGTCGGGAACAATGGGCACACCAAAAATCCCTGACTGAAGCATTATATAAGATACCTACGTAATAAAAACACTTGTACTCCCTTATATCTCTTGGTATTTTTATGATGCTCATCAGCTAACAATCTTGAGTTCCCCCACAAGAAAATAATACTGGTCCCTTTTGGAGCCATTAATGGTAGGGCAAAAAATCCTTGTATTATACTCTCACATAAACCTTAGTTTTTGGACATACAATTCTACATTTGAAGGTATTTTTTTTTAATTTCTATAAATATTACTCAACTATCTTCTCATATCTAGTATTGTTATAGAAAACCCATGCACCCATATGATGCTTATTTCCTTAGAAAAATTCTGCTTTTTCTTTTTGGAAATTTTAAAAATTATTATCCTTGTGTTTAATGTTCTTAAATTTTACTACTATTCATCTAGATTTGTCTTTTCTTCTCTTGTTACATACTTGCTATATCCTTTCAATTGTAGGATAATTAGTTATTATCTAATTATTCTTTAAACTATATTATATCTTTCTTTAATCCTGAGAAATTTTCAATAATTCTTTCTTTGAATGTATTTCCTATAATTTTTCTAATATTTTATATAAAAATTCCCAATCACATAAAAAGAATCACACAATGAAAACTCAATGTAAACATCTCTTAGATTCTATCATTTTTTAATTTGTCACAAAATTATCACTCTATCTCTCTACCCATCAATGACTTCAGGCTTTTTATGTATTTGAAAATAAATCACAGACATCAGCACACTTCCTCCAAATACTTCAGCATACGTATCCTTATATAAAAATACATATTAATGTTTCTTTAGATTTGCATTTTGCCTCTTTAGACAAAAAATTATATACAATGAGATACACAAATTTCAGTAATACCATCCAATGAATTTTGACAGATGCATAAAACTGTGTCCTAGACCTAGATCAAGATACAGTCCATTACCATCACCTCTGAAAATTCCTTATGCTCCTTTAACAATCTCCTCATCCAGCCCTATCCTTGGGCCCACAGATGCAACCTTTGTGATTAAATAATGTTCCACCATAAATTAGTTTCGTGTATCTGGGTTTAAGATAAGTAAAATGATGCAATATACATTCTTTTAGGTCTCTTTTCATCCAGCATGATTACAAAATTAACCTATGTTGCAACATATGCTGTTACTTTGTTCCTTTTTGTTACTGAGAAATGTCCCAATGTCTGAATGCTCCACTGTATGACTGTATGGCTTGTTATCTGTTCTATTGATGAACTGGAATCTTTTCAATATGGTTCAATATGAATAAACATAAACCACCATTTTCTTCTTCTACCAGCAGTGTGTGAGAATTTCAAACACTCCACATCTTTACCAATCTTTGATGTTGTTAGTCTTTTGAATTTAATAGTTCTGTGTCAAGTGACGCTCATTGTACATTTCCTTGAACATTAACCCTATGAACACTTTTCCAGAGTAGATGGAGAATTCTTATATCACCCTTTGTGAGCTGTCTACATGAATCTTCTCTTTATTTTAACTTTTTAATCTTTTTAATTTTTTATCTTTTCTATTTTATCTTTACTATTTACTTCCTACATGTATTTTTTACTTATGGGAATTCTTATATCACCTTTGTTAGCTCTACATGAATCTTCTCTTTATTTTAATTTTTTATCTTTTATTATTTAATTGATATAGCTTTGTTGCCAGCTCTTTCCTACATGTATATTTTACTTCCCAAATTTGTAAAATGCATCTTGTCTATATATTTTAGCATCTTTTTTCAAAAGAAGATGTTTCAAAATACAAAATTTTTTGTTTGTTTGTTTGGGTGGGGCTGGGTTTGAACCCGCCACCTCCAGCATATGGGGCCGGCACCCTACCCTTTTGAGCCACAGTCGCCACCCTCAAAATACAAATATTTTGATGAACGTAAATAATATTTTAATCGTAATAGTCTACTTTATCAATTTTCCTATTATGATTACTGATTTCCATATCTTTTTTTTTTTTTTTTTTGAGACAGAGCCTCAAGCTGTCGCCCTGGGTAGAATGCCATGGCGTCATAGCTCACAGCAACCTCCAACTCCTGGGCTCAAGTGAGTCTCCTGCCTCTGCCTCCCAAGTAGCTGGGACTACAGGCACCCGCCACATTGCCCGGCTATTTTTTGGTTGCAGCCATCATTGTTGTTTGGCGGGCCCAGGCTGGATTTGAACCCACCAGCTCAGGTGTATGTGGCTGGCACCTTAGCTGCTTGAACCACAGGCGCCAAGCCTGATTTCCATATCTTAAGAAATATTTTCAGAACCCCATTTTATGAAAATACTATCCTGTGCTTTCTTCTAAAGGCTTATACATTGAGTCCATGATTCACCTCAAATTAATTTTTGTCCATGATGTGAGATAGAGGCCAAGATCTTTTTTATGTGGCTATTCAGTTGCTTCACACCATTTGTTGAAAAGACTTTCCATTCCTCATTGGATTGTTGTGGTACATCTGTCAAATATCAGATACCTATATAAGTGGCTGTCTATTCCTGTGTATAGAAAGTGTTTTGTTCCATTGATCCATTCATTAGTCCACACTGTCCTGAGTTCTGCTTTATAGAAAATCTTGAAGTCTGGTAATTTATGTTCTCCGATGTTTATCATTTTCAGGAGTACTTTGTATAGTCAAGATTCATTGCATTTTCATATCAGGTTTTTATATCAACTCGACAATTTCTTCTGAAAATCTTGGTCTCATTATGAATGGAATGTTGCTGAATGTACAGATCAATTGGGGAAGACCTGACATCCCTACCAATATCCAGCCTTCCCATGCCTGAACTGAGACGCCTCTCAGTTTCCTCATATTTGCATCCATTCCCCTCAGCAACATTTTATAGAGACACTTCATATCTTTTGTTAAATAAGAATTTTAAGTTCCTAAATTTCAGAAATTCCTTTTGATTGTAAATGAAACTGTGTCTTAAATTTTATTTTCCAGTCCTCCTGGAGCTCATATAAATGTTCAAATGTTGACTTCCATTGTACATATTCCTTAACCACTTTTCTATCGTTCTTCTCATGATTTCATCCTTTTCAATACCTTCTGATACGCTCATACCTGCCTTTTAGCTCATTAGTTATTTTTCAATATTTGAAACATCTATTAAGTTCTTTTTTCCCAGCTATTTTGATGCTCAGTATTTCCAGTGGATATGCCTTAAACTCTTAGCTCCACTAACCCTGGTCTTTTTACAGGTTGCCCCCTCAGTTGTGAACACCCCGCCCAGGGGAGGGTGGAAGATTGGCTTTAAAGTGACCTTCTGGTGTCTGACATCTGGTTTTCACTTCTTTGTACCATCCTCCCCCCTTGGGTGTGAGCAGAACCTGAGACTTGCTCTGAATCAATAGATTAAAGCAAAAGTAAAAACACGTATCTTTTCTCCTGACTCTCATCAATGCTTGGGGTAGTTATACCTAGTTTTCACTATGCTAATAGTAAACATTCTTAGCGTTTTGAACTGCTTTTCCTCAATTGTTATTATGGCTGAGCATTTTTCACCTTTATTTGCCAGTGGGAATATATTGTGCTCATTTTGCAATTGATGGGGTGGTTGTCCTGTTTTGACCCTTTCCCTAAGAACTCACAGCTTAGCCAATGTGCTGGACAGCTCCCTCTGAGTGTGGCCCCTCCCTCAAGGACTAATGTCTCCTCATTACTAGCGCACCATACTCTTCTGGGCCTGGGTGGATCCTGCTGAAGCTCTCCCAAGAGACCCTGGGGGCCAGGCTCCTTTATGATGGTCACTAAACTGCTTCCTCTTATCCCCCGGTGTCATAAGCCAGTGGAGGGTGGGGGGCTGTTTGGCTCACAAAGTGTCTCCAAGATGGATAACCAGGTATAATGTTTGGTTGCAATACAAACAGCTTAGTTCCTATTGTTTTACACCTGGTCTGCTACCCTTATTCACGTTAACTTCATGCCCTGGCAGGCATTTGAGTTTTGATGCAAATCATTGCATGCTACAATGAAAGCACCACTGTCCAACAATTTCAGAAGATAAGGGTTATCGGGCTCATTTGTGCCACCAGCCATGGAATCTTGAGTAAGTCATTTCACTGATCAGAACCATTCTCTTCTAGCATGAAAGTAGAACTTAGAGATACTTTCCCTGCCTACCGCATTGTTTTGAAAATCCAGTGAAAGAATGTACAAATGTGCGGTGTTCGTGTTTTCTTTTCTTCATCTTCTTCTTCTTCTTCTTCTTCTTTTTTTTTTTTTTTTTTTTGGTGCAAGTACCAAGGATACTACATGATGCACTAAGTTTTCCCCCTCGCCCTGAGTATTGGTTGTAGGCAGGAACTGAGTGAATATACTCAAGGCGGTAAGAGAGTAAGAGTCTTCACCAGACACCTTCAGTTTAACGTAAAGGTTTGTGGCTTATGGACAAACACAGACCCTTGTGCCTTTCTGAGAACTGCCTCGTGAAAACTCGGATAGAGCAACAGGTATGAAATACAAATGTATTATTTGCCTACATTTACTGTAATAAAGTACATGCAAGGAAATAAATGTCAGGGTGAGGAGTGTACGTCAGAAAGCAACCTCAGCTGATACAAATGCATAATTATGATTTGATTTCAAAAGTGCAAACATGACCTGAATTAATGCACCTGCTGTTAGTCCAGATTCCTATATTGTGGAGACAGGAGCAAAAGTAGGGTCAATTGTGAAAGTTGGAGAAGGCACGCCAGGGCAGGGAGGCCAGTCCAGGCAGCTGTGCAGAGGGCTCTCAGGGTGAGGCCTGGGCCCCGGTCAGGACTGCAGGTGAGGGCTGTGCTGGCTGCTGGATCTGATCACAACTGCCAAGGAGAGAGAAGCACGTGGATCCTCCTGTCGTCAGCAGAGCTCTTCAGTGAGGTGGGCTCAGGGAGGGCTCTGTGCCTCTGCTCAGCCGAGCTCCAGCCAGAAGCCTTGGGAGCAGAGGAGGCACTGAGCTGCAGCTGCTCCCCAGCTCTCTGGCGGCAAGCTGGACTCCCTCCTTCTGCTGCAGGCACAAGGACAGTGACACTCAACCCTACCTGAGCCATGCCAGCCAACCTCACAGAGGGCAGCCCCAATTCCGGCGGGACCACACAGACACCGGCTCCTTCCCTAGTGGCTTGCACTGACACGGTGACTTTCACTGAAGTGGCGGAGGGAGAGGAGTGGGGCTCCTTCTACTACTCCTTTAAGGTAAGTTCCCTGCCTTCCACTCCAGACGCTAACTCCAAATAATGAGAGGGGAGGAACTTCAGAGAGCCAGTTAAAGTATCATGGCCAGTATTGTGAATGGACATTGTTTATTTTCTTTATTGACAAGGATTAAAAAAAAAAAAAAAACCTGTTGAGCTGAAGCGGCAAGCTTTAGTGTACAAAGACCTACATTGTAATTTCTCCTAATACAGGTTTTTTTTTTCTTTTTCCTTTGGCTGCTGCTGAAAATGTGTGAATTGTGAGCAATATTTATAAATGGATGATTTTTATTTTCCCCTTTCCTTAGGCAAAAGCACTTTTAATTAATCCTATAGTAGTACTTGAAATGTCTGTTTCTCTTACGGGTTAGAGCTGTGAGGTTTTTGCTAGGAACACCAGAGGTGTATGTAGAAAGCCTAGGTCTCCTGGGGCAGTGACTGACAGAATGAGAGATGTAGCACTGAGCAAGGCGGGAGGGACTACGTTTTTTTTGTTGTTGATCCTTTTCATGAAACATCAGTGAGAAATTGATTCTTTGACTGTAGTTAGTGGTGCCACCATTTGCAACAAGTTGCCTCCTGGAACAAATGAAAAAGTCAGAGTTTGTTGAGTTTCATCTTCAGAGTGTCCCGGGGCCACATTGTAAGAAACATCTTTATTAAGCTGATACTGTATTGTCCCCTATTCTGCAGCAAGATCTTGGGGATAGGAACAAGCCAGGCATCTGGAAGACAATAGTTTTTTGCTTCTTACAATTGAATGCTGGGTGTTGGGTTATTGCACACACTGCCCAGTGCTATCTTTCGTCAATGCAGTGATTCACAGGTCTCACACTGCTCCTTTATACCAAAAAAAGAAAACGCATCAAGCAAAATTCTAGTAGTTGCTGTATTGCTATTGTTGTTGCGGTTTAATCCCTTCAGTGTTCTTGAAGTGATCTGATTTTTACATACGGAGTTAGAATTACTGTGACATTCACTTCTCTTACTTGCGAACGCTCAGAATAAAACTTTCAGCAGGGAGCTGTCCGGGGAATCAGCCTTGCACTCTAGAGCTGAAGAGAGTGCAGCTAAGCTGAGCTTGAACATGTCACCTGTGGCTGCCGCAGGCTTCTGTCCCTGAGAATCCCTCCTCATGCTGCATACGTACACAGCCCTAGTGCTCGGCTCTGAAACACAGCATTGAAAGTGAAATTAGAATTTGTTGCTGCTTACTGCTGACTGCATAATCCCCTTTATGAAATCAACCTGCAGATCCAGAGATTCTATCTCGGCAGGCTTTGTGCACCCAGGAAGCACAGGGCTCCATTCACTGGCTGCCTGTGCAGCCTCATTGATCTTTACAGAAGATGACAGCAAACAGAATGAAGGGAGACTGACCATGGCAAGGGGGATAATAAGCAGCCATGAGTGAGTTGTTCTGAGACTCAGGTCATAAACAGTCTCAGCTGAAATCTTATTTACATTTTTTGAATACAGCACCTAAGGGGACTTTTGGAATGTGTGAACAAATCCTGGCTCGCTCTCTACAAGTATTTGTCCTCTCTGAACTAGCAACATAATCTCTAGGCACTAAAAAGAATCACATCATCTTTATCTCATTCCTATTGATGTGTTTGCAGCCAAACAGTAAGACTGCTAGACAAAGAGAGAAGCAAAAAGAGAGGAATTATGTCTTGCCAAGAGCTGAGACCGTTCTGCCTCATTTTTTGAGAGATAGATTCACTAAAACATAGTGATTTTCCTTACACAGCAATCAGTGGTGCTGTTTGTGGTGACCTCACTTAAATTTCCTAGTGTAAATTTTTTCAGCAGTGCCCTGGGGGTACAAATGGTTTTCATGCACTATTGATATATAAACAGTTCTGATGGAAAGTCTTGTTCACTGTGAGGCATTTTATCCCATGTATTTCAGAAGAAGAAAGTTAAAACTCTGTTCCTTTATCACTCAAATGTGTCCCTTTAATCCACTTTGCATTTACCAAAAGCAGTAAAATAAGCATGATAATAAAAATGATAACCACAGTAAAAGTAGCAGAAATAACAGCAATAGCAGTAGTTCATTCACTCTTGGCATTCTTGGTGCCAAGAGTCTTATCAAGAGTCCCTTAGCATGTGAGCTCTGTGAAATATCTCATTTAATTCTCACAACCTCCTGGTGTAGCTTTCCCTCTGGACCAGCCTCCCATCTTCATCTGTATTTATTTAAATTCTACCCATTCTTTAAGGTTCAACTTGAGTTAATTTCCTCCGGGAAGCCCTTCTTGAGTCATCCCTCCTTTTGAATTTTAGCCATCATGGACTGGACCTCTCTTCTTGACATATAATCGAACTCTGCCCTAACTGCTGTTTCAGTGTGTGTTAGGTAAATGAGTTACAGTCATTAGACTCTGAGTGAAAAAAATGCCTTGTTTTCTAATTCCCCCCAGCCCCCAGCACCATGCTAGGCATAGTCAATAAACATTTACTGTATAACTGAAGTGTGGTGTTTTTCTGTCAATTGCCAACCTTTTGTCAGGATGGGCAACAGAAAACTTGCTTTCTCTGTGGGGGCAATGAGGGGAGAGGGTCTTGTGAACCATAGTTCTACCCCTCAACCTCTTCTTTCCCTGGTCTCTACCAGCTGAACTTACCCAGTTCCCACGATCAGCTCATCCCTATCTTGTTTCTAAGCCACTGGTACCAAGGTAAATTACATCTCCCACTAGGTGGGGTCTAGAATTAGTTGCGGCACCTGGAGCTTCTCTCTAGTACCTGGTTTAGTCCTGGGGAATCCACAACCAGCATGCTGCAGCCTTACCTAGTCTCAGCTGCCCTGTTTTAGCCAACACCTGGCTTCTACCTTAGTTTCCTACCTCTCCTCTGAACCCCAAAAGCTCTCTTGTTATCCCTTTCTAATTCTTACCAGCATCTCCTTCACAAGTTCGGAGCCTTTTCCTTCCTCCTGTCTCTATCCCTAAATCCTAGCTTCTATTTCCACCACTCTAACCTACTCTGCCGTCTAAAGATCTTGGGAAACAGTGAGGAAATGGAGGGGAGGGGTGAGTGCACCTTCCCCACCCTCTTATCATGGGTTTTGTGTGACTAACCCTGTATGATCTTGGGTTCAAAGTTCTCGACTCAGACCCTGGTGGGTTGTTTTGTTTTGTTTTGTTTTGTTTCTGTCCCCAGTTTCTTAGACATTCAAGGTCACATCCGCCTCCGTTCCTCAATTCCTAGGCCCCAAGCTTAAAGAATCACATGGGCTTCAAAAACCTGCCAGAAGTTTTCAAGGAGGGTGGGACCTAGGAAATCAGAAATCCCCAGCACCACTTGAAGGTAAGACTGTGCAAATGGAAGATGGATACAAACCCTTCCTACAAAAGCACTTAATTTGGCTTGTGAATTCGCTGGTGATGTTTCCTGAATCTCTGAGTCTTGATGAGAAACCCAATTAGAAGCAACTGGGAGGGATACCTGTCTGAATTAGCAAATTACCTGAATTATAAAATAATGCAAATGAAACTCAGTTTTATTATTCTTAGGTGAGGGGAGAAACACAAACCCAGACTGCTAAATATCACCTAATGACAATCTTTTGTTGAACCTACTTCAGTGGGTAGTTACAAATGATATGCGATTAGTCTAACTATTGTTTATATGCAAATGGTTGCTTCTCGTGCCTCAGGGTGATTGGACACAGTCTGTTCCCTTTGTTTATACATCCGCTCTTCCAAGGGGTCTTTTACTGTTAATTTTCTATCATATCCTTCCTCCATTAATATTAACAAAAGCAAATTTAAGTTCAACCCCTGTCCCAATTATCTCACACTATACTTCTGCAGGAGCTCAATTTAAGAAGCTTAAGTAGACTGTGCTTGTTCCCAACAAAGCACAGTTGACAACTCAGGTTGACAACCCATTTCTCAGACCTCGTTCTGCAAACTGTCAGCATTTTCACCCATGACTGTCATCTCAATTTCTCTTTGCCCACTTGCCTGCTTCCCCAAGCCCACTCTCCTCACCCTCCCCACCTCTCCAAGGCTTGCTTGTCTCCCTTCCCGCCCTGGACTCAGGACAATGGCTGGGATACTCCTCCTGGAATCCAGGAGGCCTCAGTCCCCGGCCTTTTAATCTATTTCCTGCAATTTGCAATGAGCAGTCTTGCGTTTACATTGCTTATTTTTTATCCCCTTCTAATTAGTCTCGCTCGTATGTTCAATTTGAGTTTCTACAGCTGAATACTGTGACTGTTTCTAAGGGAATTACTACTAGTTTTGCTCAGTTAAACAACTATTAAAGGCCTGACTCCTTCTCCCTTTTCTCCCCAGACCTAGCACTGCACCTTCCAATCCCCCAGCCTACCATGCAGCCTGTCCAATTTCACTCCATGTAAATGGAAAGGCACAGGATGACATGTAATTTCCAGGTTATAGACTCTAGTGTGTGTAAAAGGAAATTTTCCTCAATTAAATTTCTCTTGGCATCACTAATACAGCTGATGGCAGGAAACATAATCTTAGTTAATCTAAGGTAAGCCCAATCATTGCAGGGCATGTCAACCTAAGAATAGTTTTTACATTCTTTGGCTTTGAGAAGGCATCTAACCTCTATGGCTTGCGTTTCTATAGGGCATTCCTGGGGGGGGGGGGAGGGTATAGGAGTGGTGATGGAGAGGGTTTAGTCTAGTGAGGGACCTGGGAAAATTGGCCTTAGCTGAAACAAGGCCTGTATGTCCCTCAGGCATAGTCATCCTTATTCTGGACCCTTGCTTGGGTCCCCATTTGGGCCAGGTTGGGGTCACACTGCTTTCTCCCTCCAAGTACATAGTGTTCAAATCTCCCCCTCTCAATTCAGGCTAAATTTCCACATCCTTTACTAGAATGGAAAATCCGAGCCTCCCCCTCACTTCTGAGCAGCAGAAAACACAGTGGTGTTATCTCTGGTCCTTTTCCACCCAAAGTAGCCATCTACACTGTACAACTCCCACCTCAGAATAGCTGGGGAAATCCGGGAGGCTGC